TCTTCCCATGTAGGAATGTAAACAGTTTAATCTTATTAAGTCCCCTATAATTTTCCTTTCCTGTTTATCTTCTTATGCTTCTCTTGAGTCTTGTATTTAAAACTTAAATTTTCTATTCAGGACTGGTCTTTTCATCAAGAATGCTTGAAAGCCCTCTATCTCATTGAATATCCACTTTCCCCCCTGAAGGATTATACTCAGTTTTGCTGGGTAGGTGATTCTTGGTAGTAATCCTAGCTCCTTTGCTCTCTGGAATATTATATTCCAAGCCCTTTGATCCTTTAATGTAGAAGCTGCTAAATCTTGTGTTATCCTGACAGTGACTCCATCATGCTTGAATTGTTTCTTTCTGGCTGCTTGCAGTATTTTCTTTTTGACCTGGGAGCTCTGGAATTTGGCTATAATATTCCTGACAATTTTCATTTTGGGATCTCTTTCAGGAGGCGATTGGCAGATTCTTTTAATGTCTAGTTTGCCCTCTGGTTCTAGAATATTGGGGCAATTTTCCTTGATAATTTCTTGAAAGATGATGTCTAGGCCCTTTTTTTGATCATGGCTTTCAGGTAGTCCAATAATTTTTAAATTATCTCTCCTGGACCCATTTTCCAGGTGAATTGTTTTTCCAATAAGATATTTCACATTGTCTTCTATTTTTTTTTTGTTCTTTTGGTTTTATTTTATTGTATCTGATTTTTCATAAAGTCATTAGCTTCCACTTGTTCCATTCTAATTTTTAAGGAATTATTTTCTTCAGTGAGCCTTTGGACCTCCATTTCCATTTGGCCAATTCTGCTTTTTAAGGCATTCTTCTCCTCGTTGGCTTTTTGGACCTCTTTTACCATTTGGCCTAGTCTGTTTTATAAGGTGTTATTTTCTTCAGTTTTTTTTGTCTCATTTACCAAGCTGTTGAATTATGTTTTGTTATTTTCTTGTATCACTCTCATTTCTCTTTCCAATTTTTCCTCTGCCTCCCTTACTTGATTTTCAAATCCTTTTTGAACTCTTCCATGGCCTGAGACCAATTCATATTTTTCTTGGAAGCTTTGGATATAGGAGCTTTGACTTTGTTGTCTTCTTCTGAGTATATGTTTTGATCTTCCTTGTCACCATAATAACTTTCTATAGTCAAAGTTTTTTCCCACTGTTTGCTTATTTTCTCAGCCTATTACTTGACTTTTAACTGCTTATTAAAGTAGGGCTCTGCTTCCAGGGTGGAGGGTACACTGTCCCAAGCTTCAGGGTTTTTGTGCAACTATTTTCAGAAATACTTCTAGGGACCTGTAAGTTTTCAGTTCTTCCAAGGTGGTGTGATCTAAGGAGAGGTATTTACTACTGTCCTAGACTGTGCCCTGCTCTTTTCTGCCCTGAAACTGTGAGGAGCGTCTCCCCTCTGATACAGCTGCAAGCTCTACTATGTTAGTGCTCCTTCTCACCCTGGGATTGTCAGCCAGTACTGGGACCCAGATCCAAGTAGAGACAAAGCAACAGAGTCCTGCCTCAGTGCTAGCAAAAAGCTTCCTGTAATCTCCTTCTGAACAGTTGTTCAACCCCCTTACTGTCTGTGAGTTGAGAGCTCTGGAAGCAGCTGCTGCTGATTCAATCACTCCCAAGGTCCGCTCCTGGTTGTGCTAGCTGGCCTTTACTGGACTATACTCCTCTCTCAGCCTGGTGCTGAGCAGGCTCAATTAATGACAATGGAGCCACCACCGTTGGATACAAACAAAACAGCCCTGCATGTGTTCTTAAGGAAGGTAGAAATTACACTACAGAGAATGAAGTCAGGAAAAGGCAGCCAGGTTAGATTAAATGTGTATATATAAAGGAGATCCATGCTGGGAAGTGACACAATTACAAGGGCACTGAAGAATCAGTACTCAAGGTACCTGAAGGAGAGGAAAATACGAAAGGCATGGGGGGGGGGGAACCCCCAACTCCAATCTTATTAATACTGGGAGAAAAAAGAGAGAATACTAAAAGCTACCGACCTATATGCCTACTTTTCTATTCATACAACCACTGTATAAGTCACAAATCAAGCAACCATTTATTAAACACCTACTTTGTGCAAATCTAGGACATCTTTGATGAGGGTTTTAGCAGGGAACAAGAAGGCTTTTGCAATATTCAGTGGACCTCACAGTTGCCATTTGCAATAGATTCAACGACGTAGATAATACAAAGTCCCTTTGTGCTTATTATTTGTTGATTTTGAAAAAAAATTTTGATTCAGTTTAGCAGAATGCTGCCTTAAAGGCTCTCTTCAGTAAGATATCTCCTTTTTCCACATTAAAATCATTTAGGATTCCTTGAAAGAAAGAACAACAGAAGTAAGCCTGTTCAAAGACCCTCTGATCATCATAGGCTATGCAAAACACAGGGAGATGTATCCCCTTCACTGTGACAGAGAAGGTGATGAGGATACAAAGGCAAAAATGAAGTAATCTCTAACCTCAAGGAGCTTAAAGTTCTACCAAGGGGGATACAACATGTGGACAGATAAGTAAATAGAAGATAATTTGAAGGGTGAAATTACACTAACCACTTGGGGGTCAGGAAAGATTTCCTATAAAAAGTGGCATCTGAGTTGAGTGCTTAGCACAATGCCTGGTAGTAGGCACTGAAGAAACATTTATTCATGGGTTTATTGATTGGAGGAAGCAAAGGATTCTAAGAAGCAGAGGTGAGGAGCATTTGGGTTCCAAATATTGGATACACAGTCTGTGCAAAGGTAGAAGATAGAAGGTGGAGTTCAGGGAACCACCAGTAGAACTCTCTCCTAACAATAGGGAAGTAGTTCATGTATCATTAGCCCTATTTTACAAACTTGGCCTTAGAGAGAAAAAATGGCTTGCTAAAATTATCTGGCTCTAGATTGTCATTGGTGGAGTGCTGGGACTGCAACCTAGCCCCACGCTGACCTCCAGTCCAGAGTCTCAGCCACTACACAGAATCCCCATCATGCCTTGGAATACAATCACACACAAAGGCAGCATTAAGTCTGGGGCTGGCTGCAGTGTTGAAATTTTCTTGCTTCGGATATTTTTATATTAGTCAAATTACTGACATTTGAGAAAAATGAAAACCAGTAGAATTAACTTGTAAAATTAAATTCTCTTGCTTGCTGTTTTCCCCCAAAATAAGAATTTTAATGTCACAAAATATATTTGCTAAGGAGATCCAAATTAGTGGATCAAACTGGACATTGTTTGAATATGACAAAGTACCTCCTTCATCCTTGAATGTAAGAGTATGTAGGTGGATCTCCTCCTAAAGAATTCATTCTGCAAACCTCTACTGAATTTAGTGTCTCTACCTAATCATCTTTATAGATCAAGGAACTGGGCAAAATGAAACCTTACTTAGCTCATAAGCCTTCAAGTATGTGAAGGTTCACAAACCAAAGGATGATAATCTATTTTCAGTCTCTGCTGAGAACTGAATGAGATGTACGGTGCAACAGACTGAGCACTGGCACCAGAATCAGGAGACCCAGGCTGATATCCCACCTCTGACACTAACTGGCAGTGTAACCCTGTGCCTCTCATCTGTAAATAGGAGTCTCAGATCAAATGATTTCTAAGATCCTTCCTAGCTCTAATAATCTGTGATAATCTACCATAATCAAATTGAGCAAATATTTATTAAAACACATAGCATGTGCAAGGCTGTAGGCACAAAGACAAACCAAAATTGATTGGAGGGTTTAGCAAGTATTTCTCCAAAAGCCTCCATTTAAATAGAGTTCCCATCCAGTCATCTCTTCATTTCTCACCTGATTACATTCCCAACTCTGCCATGCCCCCCCACACAGTGGCACCAGCACTTAGCACAATGTTTGCTACATAGTAGATACTTAATAAATGTTTATTGACTGACAATATATAGTTCCTGCCTTTAAGGAGATTATATTCTAGGTGGGGGTGGGGGTGAGAATTGACTTCTTTCTTACTTTCTACCTTCCATTGAAACTTACTTGGAAGAGATTAGCCCTGATTGAGAGAAGCTGGGAAGGGGCAGCATGGATCATTGCCCTTCTTAGGTGAAAAACCAAACCAAAATAAATCAGTAACTTTACCTCTTAAACTTCTACAAACACTTTTTCTTAAATTTTATATAACATGCATATTTTCTACAATTTTATCAAAGTGAACTTTAAAAAACCCTCTGAATTTCTAGCAGTTCATCTCATTAATGTTGTGAATCTGGGTGACAGGAAGGAGGGGGATACCTTTGATAGAAGAGGGGTAAGTTTTGGGAAGAGGAAACCATGACCACTCATCTTATATAACTCACCACGTCCCACACCCCCACAAGGTGACCTGAGGATGGGGTGGGGGAAGGATGTTGGGGAAAGGAGAAGGCTTTTCTTAATGGCACTTAAACAGCTGCTGCTGTAGGTGCCCAGGTAGCAATAGGATTATAACTGTGCTAAGGGTCTATCGCAGTCTCAGAATGGAGAGGCTGGAAGCTTTCCTAGTAGAGAGAAGGGGCAGTGGAAGTTTGGGAGGATAAGTATACGTGTGGTTGTGTTGGAAACACAGTCACTACTGCTTTGGGAAGATATTTTAATTTAATTTTAATTTAATTTTCAATCTGTTCTATTATCTTGTTTCCCAGCATTTACATTTTTGAGGTGGGCCACGAGGACAGAAATGCTTGGGAAAAATTCAGAGCCACTTAAATTCTCTGGCTGGAACCCACTGGATCTCTTTGATGATTTCTCTGGAGACCAGAAGAATAGCAACCATAGTGTATGCTTACAATCTTTTCCATTTTTTCTGTCTTCCCAAGAATTCCTAGTTGGGAAGTCCTGACTTTAAAAGAGGGACAACAACTGCCCTAAAGGATTAAAAGCATTCTCAAATCCATAAGATATGTTCAAAAGCCAGAATATTCTATTGTCCGTAAAGAGCGTTCCTCTTTGCTTATGATTGGTCAACACTGTTGATTAAACATCAATAATTTGTGGGTGTTCTTTCACTTCTGTTTTAAATCGGCAGGCAGTGAGATGTGAAGAGTAAGCAGAGAAGAAACAGGAGACCAACAAGGAAGCCACTGAGGAAAAGAAAGTCTAGGGTAGGTAAACCCCTTTTTAAAAAATCCATTTTGGTTTCTGCTTTGCTAGCTACTTCAATTCTGAAATTTGTTATCTCTCTTTTTAAACTTAAAAAAAGGATGGAGTTTTTTGTTTTCATATCATAGTAATTTCCTGATATGCCTCTCTCCCCTCTGAATTCTCTCTTGTAACAAGTTAAGAGAAAACCAATCAACCCAGTGGCTAATTTAGATCCTTGGTTCTTTACTGCATGCCCATGGTCCCTCTTGTTTCTACTGAGAGAAGGTAAGTGTATTTCATCATTTGGTCTCTGGGATCAAGACTGATGATTCTGATTCCCCTGAATTCAGCTGCTTTTACTGTGGTTGAAAATCCTTTCTTCACTGATCCTCATTAGGATTTACTTTCTTTGTTTGTTTGTTTTTAACACTCTCCATTCCCTTCCTTCAGGATTCAAACACATCAATCAATCAGGAAATTTAGAAAAACAGGCATTGGTGACTTTGTAATTTAGTTCATTGTGAAGAGGTCTAGGGGTTTTGGGGTGCTGGGACCCCAAGACTGGGCCCTGCTGAATGAATTCCACTCAAATCTTCTTCAGCTAGAGGAAAAATTTATTAGTGATAAATCACAGAGGCCAGGTGACACCCATAAGGACAGGCGGCATGAGAAAGGCTCAGCCTTTGGGGCAGGAGAGATTCTCAGCCTTTTGAGCATGAGATTCTCAGCATCTGAATGAGGGCCGAGGTGGATCTTAAATACTAAAGTAACTTTGGGTGGCCAGAGAAGGGGGTTGGGAAATGGGTCTAGGTAAGAATTCTAATTGGGGAGGTCAGAGAGATTGAATAGACAATGGGAATAGATAATGGAGGGAACAGGAAGGCAGAAGTTTGAAAGGCATCTGCACAAAACCAAGGTGGGGCCAGGACTTTCAAAAGAAGATAAGGGGAGTCGATAAGGAAGGCCTTGCTGGGGCCTATAGACAAAAGGGAGCCAGATCTGAATAAGATTGAAAGGTAAGGCTAAGGCTTTCAAAGGGAGATGAGGGTCTGGGGCCTGTGAGTCAGATTCCCTTTGGAGCAAAGGGTGAAGATCTTGGCTTGGGCCCTGCCCCCGTCAATTAGATCAAAGGATCATAGATTTACAACTGGAAGGCCATCTAATCCAACCTCCTCATTGTACGCATGAGGAAACTGAGGCTCAGAGAAATGATGTAACTTGTCCAAAGTCATACAACTAATAAGTAGCAGAGTCAGGATTTCAGTCCAGGTCTTCCAGAGAAAGGGCTTTTCTCACTGTACAATACCATCAGCTTAGTTGTCAAAGCAAAAGAGAAAGAAAAGAAAGAGGAAATAGTTCTCTTTTTTTCCCTTTGCTCTTCACTCACTTTGTCCTTCAGTATGGAGGTAAATATTTGGGGAGTTTCTGGCTACACCAAGCAAATATTCAAAGGGAGACTTCTGTAAAAGGGAGTCCACTCAATTCATAGGATTTAGAACTGGAAGGGATCTTAGAGAATTTATAGTTCAGACCCCATCCTACCACTCTCCCCATTTTATAGAGAAAGAAATAGGTTTTGAAAGCTTACATGATTTGTCTAAAGTCACAAAGGTAACCTTAGCAGTCAGAATTTGAACCCAAGTCCTCAGACTTCAGACCTAGTATACTTGACACTGTACTCTTAACTTACAATACAACAGATAATCCAAGAGATTACTTGGCTGTCCAGAGTTGGAGATTCCTTCAAATATTTTCTAACTCAAATCTGAGACTGGAGTCCGCTTGAAAACAATTTATTAATATTTTAAATGTAAGACTCCCACTTCATTTTGAAATTAGAAAGGTTATCTCTCTAGAATGTTCTGAATGGTAATGTAAGTAAACAACGTATTTGTAAATATTCACAGAAAAAGTGAATGTCAGCAGCCATCTAGTCTCAATCATCTGTGAAAAGTAGCTCTCACTATAGCATGCCCAACAGACAGTCATTCCACCTCCTCTGAAGACTTTCAATGACAGAGGAGACAAATGAGATAGCGGTTTCCCTTTTAGATTGTTCTAATTGCAAAACAAATCAAAAAACATTTATTAAGCACTTGCTATGTGCCAGTCACTGTGCTAAGTACTGGGGATGTGGAATACAAGCCAAAAGAAAGCCAATGCCTGCTCTTACATTCTAATGGAGGAAGACAAAATAGTAAAAGGGAGTTGAAATGGGAGAGGTACCTGTATGGAGGAATCTGATAGCCAAGTCCAAAGAGCGAAGCTTGTCTGATCCTTGGGCTTCTCCTCAAAATGGTGGTTCTAGGAGAAATTCACCAATAGCAGAAGAGAGGCCAAACAGGCAGCTGAAGCATGGTGGCAAAGCCCGGAGAGAGTTGTGATTGTTAAGCAGTTCTTTCTGACATTCAACCCAAGTCTACCGCTTTCCTACTTCCACCCATTTCTCCTGGTTCTGCCTTCTGTGAGCAGATACAACTCTAATCCATCTTTCACAAGACAGACCTTTAAACAACTATTACCTCTCCTCTGAGTTTTCTTCTCCGGGTTAAATATTCTCAGTTCATGGCCCCGATCCAGTAAATCCAATAAACATTTATTAAGTATTATATATTATATGCCAAACACTATGCTAAGTGCTAGGGATACAATTAATAAAAAGATAAGCAGGCCCTGCCCTCCGAGAGTTTATATTCTAGAGGACATACGGCACAGGTTTACTGCTCTTGACCATCCTGGCTGCCCGCCTCTGGACACTCTTTAGCTTATCAATATCACCCCTGCACTGTGATGTCCAGAACTGAATACAGTCTTCAGATTTTGTCTCTGAAGGGAGCCTGATTTCTTACTATGAAATCCAAGTTCATAAATGCTTTGATAACTGCCACATTGATTTATTCATGTAAAATTCACTTAGCATCTCCTCTGTGCAAATTTACTCTATGAGGAAATGAGGGAGATTCCTGAAAATAAAAATAAATAAGACACTGTCCCTGTTCTTAAAGAGCTTATAGTCTAGTAGTGAAAGGGAAGACTATGCAGGTCATGTAGTAAGAATATAAATAAGAAGATTTAAGTGCCTAGTTGAAGGTGGTATGAATTCAGATGCAAGAGAAATCACTTTCAGCTGGAGGAGTCAGGGAAGGCTGGATGGAGAAGGTGCCATTTAACCAGAGCTTGGCAGCTGGGTAGGATAGCAACAAAGAGGCAAGAGGGTTCCAGGAGAGAGAAGAAGATGAGCAAGAACAGGAAGGCAAGAAATTGTCGGATATGTTTAGGGAACAATGAGTAATAAGAGTTAGGTGAAGTAGAGAGTCCGTGAGGGGAAGTGGGATGAAGTACAACTGGACGAAGTATGCTGGAGCCAGATCGTAGAAAGCCCTGAGTGCGGGGCTAAGGCCTTTGGTTGTTCTCTAATAATAGTGATGAGGGCGGGGCCCAAGCTAAGATCTTCACCCTTTGCCTCAAAGGGAATCTGACTCACAGGCCCCAGACCCTCATCTCCCTTTGAAAGCCTTAGCTTTACCTTTTAAATTTATTCAGATTAAAGGCCCTAAAAGCCTTAGGTTCCCTCTTGTCTATAGGCCCCAAAAAGGCCTTCCTTTGTCTCCTTTTGAAAGTCCTAGCCCCACCTTGATTTTGTGCAGATGTCTTTCAAACTTCTGCCTTTCTGTTCCTCCATTTCTATTCCCATTGTCTATTCAATCTCCACGACCTCCCCAATTAGAATTGTTACCTACACCCTTTACCCAACCCCCTTCTCTGGCCACCCAAAGTTACTTTAGTATTTAAGATCTACCTTGGCCCTCATTCAGAGGCTGAGAATCTCACCCTCAAAAGGCTGAGAACCTCTCATGCCCGCTCATCTTTCTGGGCGTCACCGGGCTGAGAATCTCAGGCCCACAAGGCTGAGAACCTCTCATGCCCACTCATCCTTATGGGTGTCACCTGGCCTATATGTTTTACTACTAATAAACTTTTCCTCTGGCTGAAGAAGATTTGAGTTGAATTCTTTCAGGCAGGGCCCGGTACCGTGATCTTGGGGTCCCAGCACCCCAAAACCCCTAGACCTCTTCAATAGGAAGCTGTTACAATAGGATTCTCAGTTGCATCCCAGATTTGCCAGTTGTGGACAAGCCACTTCACTTTTCTGTGACTCATGTGTGTGTTGTTTTTGCTGGCTTACTCGATTTAGTTGTTGGGGAAGGTCTAATCAGAAAAGGGTCTGCGAGTAGATAAAGTGGGCAGTGCCCAGGATATGTTACATGGGGGTAGTGAAGTAGGTGCAACAAGACACATTTTAAAATTTATTTTTAATCTTAAAAAAAATTTTAATGCCAGAAAATTACTTGAGATCACCAGAGGATGAAGGGAGGAGGATGTTGACAGTTGTCATTCAGAGTGTTGTTGGTTTTCCCAAGAGCTGCCAGGCAGAGTGTGTGCCTATGAGCTCCTCTCCATGCACTAATGGAAATGTCCACGAGGCACAGGCAAAGGAAGCATGATGTACTGTGTTGGTCTGGATATAGGCTGTATTTCCCCTCCCTACTCCACCTTCAAATCTGGCTTTTACCAATCCTCAGGGGAATGAAATTGAAAAGCATTTATTAAATGTTTATTATATGCCAAGTATTGGGGATAAAAACAAACAAACAAACAAAAGGCTTTCAAAAGGCTCCCATGCTAGTTGGGGGAGGAATGGGAAGGAAGGGGAGCACATACAGGAGAGTCCAGCTGCAGGGTGCACAGCAAGACTTGGAGTGTGCTTTTAGGAAGGGAAGATACCAATAGTCTCTGGGCTGATGGAGTTTGGGGATGAAGGGGTCTCACACCAGTCTGATAGGCTCTGTCCTTGAGGTGGTCTCACAGAGGAATCCATGATCAACATTATTGTTCATTTTTCATTATTGTTTGTATGTCTATGAAGAATGGGTGTATAATTTTGTTCATTTGGAAACTTCCTGATATGAGAATTCCCTTTATTGATGCAGATTCCTTGTGATTCCTTTATTATTCCTGA